ATTATTGGTGGTCCATTGTTACTAGTACCATTATTGGTGGTCCATTGTTACTAGTACCATTATTGGTGGACATTGTTACTAGTACCATTATTAGTGGACATTGTTACTAGTACATTTATTGGTGGACAGTGTTTGATATTTTATAACCATAATTTTCAACGAAACCGCGAAGTTTAAAATCTTGAAAATCATTGCAGGTACAACGGACGGGTGCACAAAGGTTTTTTTTTACCCACATAGAAGAGGATTAGTTTAGCTTGGTACAATATTTTTCACGTAAAGAGAGACAGGTTCATAAGTGTTAGTTCAGCTTGATAGAAGACTTCCCAAGTAAACAGGAATACAAATCTGTGGGACTGTTAACTCAGCAGGGTAAGAAACGTTTCAGGTGAACAGGAATACAGATCTGTAGAATTGTTAATTCCCTGAAAAGTTTCTTACTCTGCTGAGTTAACAGTCCTAAAGATCTATATTCCTGTTACCTGAAAAGTTTCTTACCCTGCTCAGTTAACAATCCTACAGATCTGTATTCCTGTTCACCTGAAAAGTTTCTTACCCTGCTCAGTTAACAGTTAACAATCCTACAGATCTGTATTCCTGTTCACTCTTACCCTGCTACTTTTCAGGTGAACAGGAATATAGATCTTTAGGACTGTTAACTCAGCAGAGTAAGAAACTTTTAGGTTAACAGGAATACAGATCTGTAGGACTGTTAACTCAGCAGAGTAAGAAACTTTTCAGGTTAACAGGAACACAGATCTGTAGGATTGTTAACTCGGCAGAGTAAGAAACTTTTCAGGTTAACAGGAATACAGATCTGTAGGACTGTTAACTCAGCATAGTAAGAAACTTTTCAGGTTAACAGGAATACAGATCTGTAGGATTGTTAACTCAGCAGGGTAAGAAACTTTTCAGGTGAACAGGAATACAGATCTGTAGGATTGTTAACTCAGCAGAGTAAGAGACTTTCAGGTTAACAGGAATACAGATCTGTAGGATTGTTAACTCAGCATAGTAAGAAACTTTCAGGTTAACAGGAATACAGATCTGTAGGATTGTTAACTCAGCAGAGTAAGAAACTTTTAGGTTAACAGGAATACAGATCTGTAGGATTGTTAACTCAGCAGGGTAAGAGACTTTTCAGGTTAACAGGAATACAGATCTGTAGGATTGTTAACTCAGCAGAGTAAGAAACTTTTCAGGTTAACAGGAATACAGATCTGTAGGATTGTTAACTCAGCAGGGTAAGAAACTTTTAGGTTAACAGGAATACAGATCTGTAGGACTGTTAACTCAGCAGGGTAAGAAACTTTTAGGTTAACAGGAATACAGATCTGTAGGATTGTTAACTCAGCAGAGTAAGAAACTTTTAGGTTAACAGGAATACAGATCTGTAGGATTGTTAACTCAGCAGGGTAAGAGACTTTTAGGTTAACAGGAATACAGATCTGTAGGACTGTTAACTCAGCAGGGTAAGAAACTTTTCAGGTTAACAGGAATACAGATCTGTAGGATTGTTAACTCAGCAGGGTAAGAGACTTTAGAACTTCCATTCCCATGTCATCCTTACGATAATCTACAGGAAGAATAATGTCAATGGAACGTAAAATATATGCAAAAAACAGACATTGATTACGAAGTTATTTATTTGATAACTCCCGTTCTATACTAATTTATGACTATTATAAAACAATCAATGAAAAACCAGATTTTAATGTGTGAACCTGAGAAGCTGGTGTTAAATACTACATGCTTCTTTGTTCACTCAAATTTCAAAAAAATTCAAGCTGAATTCAGAATAATAATAATAGTTATAATAAACACTCTTTACGAGTTACACGGCTCCCCGATGGCTCAGGGGTGAGACTGGGGACTTGTAAGGCTAAAAATCGGGTTTGGATACCAGCAGTGGGCAAAGCACAGACAGTTCAATGTGTAGTTTTGTGCTTGATAAAAAAACAAAGAATTGTTTATATATGTATGATTAACTTTTCATTTGGAAGCTCGTAACAAAGTTTTTGTTTTTCGTTTAAACCTTTATGTACACAGTTAAGCTGCTAAGATTTCGTAGTCTTGCCACTGTATTCGCGTTCGATTGGTCAGGAAGCTAAAAGGGATATTTCCACGTTGCTCCTCCCGTTTCACGCCATGCGTACATATTTGCTAGACTGCAAACAACGTATTCAGTTCTCTTGCCCTTATATCTATTAGATATTCACTATGGAAAATACTTTTATTATTTCTAATCCTTCTGAGCTTTGCTACCCAGAAAACAAGAAAAAAAAATTCAGGGAATATAATGCGAAAAAGGTAAGTTTAGTTACTTAGTTTCTGCGTGCGAAGCTACGCAATGGGCTATCTAGACTTTGCCCTCTGCGGGTACCTAACCCCGATAATTGTTGTTATATCTTCTCAAGCTTGTTTCGACATAATCCAAAAAGCCAATCTTAAACAGCTTGTTTAAGAATAAAAATGTACTTATATGTTTTTCAATGAACTACAAATAAATTTCTACTTATATGTTTTCCTATGGACTACAAATAAAATTGTATTTATATGTTTTTCAATGAACTACAAATAAATTTCTACTTACATGTTTTCTTATGGACTACAAATAAAATTGTATTTATATGTTTTCCAATGAACTACAAATAAATTTCTACTTATATGTTTTTCAATGAACTACAAATAAATTTCTACTTATATGTTTTTCTATGAACTACAAATAAAACAGTTCTTATATTATTTGCAAGGAATTACAAATAAAATTGTGCTTATATGATTTTCAATGAACTACAAATTAAATTGTGCTTATATGTTTTCCTATGAACTACAAATCAAATTGTACTTATATGTTTTTCTATGAACTACAAATAAAATTGTGCTTATATGTTTTCCTATGAACTACAAATCAAATTGTAATTATATGTTTTTCAATGAACTACAAATAAATTTCTACTTATATGTTTTTCAATGAACTACAAATAAATTTCTACTTATATGATTTGCAATGAATTACAAATAAAATTGTGCTTATATTATTTTCAATGAACTACAAATAAAACTGTGTGTTTTTTTTTCAATGAAGTACAAATAAAACAGCACTTATATGATTTTCAATGAACTACAAATAAAACTGTGTGTTTTTTTTTCAATGGAGTACAAATAAAATTGTACTTGTATGTTTTTTTAATGAACTACAACTACAGTTGTGTTTATATGTTTTTATATGATTTTTGAGCAGGACGATTATATTCAAAAACGAGTGAGGGAAACCTATAAGCAAATGCACACAAACCAAACGGTGGAATTTGCCCGTAACAGAGTAAGTATGACGTTTCGTATTGAGGCACATGAATGTTTTTTTCAAATTACGACGATTATACTACAGCTTCGACAGCTGTTACACCCAAACATTTTCGGAATAATATTTCACCGGTATCTTCGTGGAAAAAATCTAGCTTAAATTCCGGAACTTATAACATCTAACCTATATAAAAGCCAGTGTGTGTCATATCACGTCACGCTTGATTTCTCGAAATAGCAGAAGTCATAAAAGCCAAAATGCATTTACCTAGATAGAATAGTTCGATTACTATCCGCTCATTACGATTTTAGAGGCCGTGAGGGGGGGGGGGGGAGGTGCCATGAAACCTTATAAATGTAGTGAGTGTTGGTATAATAAGCCTAAGGTAAAGACGTAGTCTGGGACCACCTAGCGTAGAGTCAAGTGCATAAAAAATTATCACAAAAGTAAAAATATCGATTCAATTTTAAAATTAAATTGTTTCTGAATTAAACTATTTTCTGTTTTATCACCAATGTTTTAAATAAAAAACAAACCTCTGTAATCAATTGAGACTTTAAATTAAGAACCCAACAAATATTTTTTTTCCAGTTTTGTTGTCTATACGTTTCAGTTTATATTGTTTGTTTGTTTGTAATTAAGAACAAAGCTTCACAATGGGCTATCTGTGCTCTGCCCACCATGGGTATCGAAAACCGGATTCTAGCGTTGTAAGTCCACAGATATACCGCTGTGACACTGGGGGGCTTCAGTTTATACTTTCAGTACCTAGACTAGCAACTATATTGGGTTATACTTTTGTTGCTAAGAAATATGACATAAAAGCAATTGTTGGAACGTAGTGTTACCAGAACGTGCTGGCTTTTCTATATATATTAGAAGTTGTTAATCTAACTGATTTTTACAAATAATTATCCTATGAATACGCCACGAATTCATTTCATGAATGATCTTAGTCTTGATTGTCTCACAAAGGAATTTACTGACGTTTGACTGTCTCAGTTGCACTTTTCTGCCTCTTTGTTGGTCAAGCTTGATTTCGCAAAATTTATTTATTTCAGTTACCCATGAAATGAAGGATTATGGTATACTATTGGTTGGGAGTGGTAGTACTTACCACGTCATTTTTGACAGTCTATAACGGTAGTTACTTAAACATTCAAAACGTGTTTTATTTGACGTAGTCTATGAGTTTTGTATCAAAACGATTAAAAATAGTTATTTAACAAAGGTCGGATCCGAACTTCCAACCTGCCAAATAAAACACACCCATTTTTACCGCCGGGCCACGCTGGATTACTTGGAAAGAAAACGAGGAATTTCCCATATTCCTTAATGGTGAAAGTTCCAAACTTTAGGGCCCGATTTTCTCCGCGAAGCTCCCCAGTAACACAGCAGTATGTCTGCGGACTTACAATGCTAGAAAAAGGGATAACCTTCCCTCTGTGTTTTCCAGTAGAGGGAGCATTGTAAGTGTTTGGCTGTTCCCGTGTGTATATATTTTTGTGAACATGGGGAAATTGTAGTAACGTCTAATGTTTTGATGTTCCTTTCATTAGAAGGCTTACTGGACCAAATTCGACAAGGGGAGGATGACTATCATGGAAGTCTTAGAAAAGCTGAATGAACTGGTAGATGAATCTGACCCAGATTTGGATATCCCCAACAACTTCCATGGTTTTCAGACAGCTGAAAAAATCCGTAAGGCCTATCCGGAACTCGACTGGTTTCATCTGACTGGATTGATTCACGATCTTGGAAAAGTGATGGTTCTTTTTGGCGAACCTCAGTGGGCGGTGGTGGGGGATACTTATCCACTAGGCTGCTCCTTTGCAGATTCTGTAATTTACCATAACATCACATTCAACGAAAATCTTGACATGAAAGATATTCGTTACAACACCAAAATAGGCATGTACACTGAACAATGTGGATTAGAAAATGTTCTGATGTCCTGGGGTCACGATGAGTACCTATACCATGTCTTAGTCAATCATAAGACTTCTTTACCAGAGGAAGCCCTGTACATCATCCGATTTCATTCCTTTTTCCCATGGCATACATCAGGAGATTACAACTACCTTTGCAATGACAAGGACATGGCAATGTTACCCTGGGTCAAGGAATTCAGGTAGGTTTTTCAAACGAATTAAAGCAAGATGCTCTTATATTTCAAAACTGAAAACTGAAATGTTGGTTTTGGTCAATTCTAGCCACTTGACTAACTGTCAGTCTCTAACAATTTATGTTCTAAAAACCCAATCAAATGGAGAACGAGTCTTGTGGCATTTAAAAACGCGAGCATGTCTACAGCACGTGGCCAGCATGTAGAAGCAGGAGTTCAAATCCGGTTCGGGCGCATAGTTCACTTCTCCGGAATAATTTGTAAAAATACCTAACTATTACTGTAACGTCAAAAATATTTGCAATTGAGGTACATTATAAAGAGGAGAGTTTCGTACTAATAACTTCATTTTGTCAACTTTACTTGATTGTAAGGGAGAAATAAGTCTCTACTAATCTGATTTATCTATACTGGTTACGTCATCTAGAATCATTAGTATTTATTGTAGAATATTAAATAGGTATAAATTTGTAATTTATTGATACATGTATGTTATCACTCACAGCAAATTCGACCTTTACTCCAAATCTAAAGACGTTCCAGATGTGAAAAGCCTTCTCCCTTACTACCAGTCCTTGATAGACAAGTATATCCCTGGTATTGTTCAGTGGTAAAATAGAGGATTAGCTGAGAAGATGACATTGATGATAATGCACCATTGAGTAGCGGTTAAAACGTTTAGAAAATATATTTCATATAGACTTGCTTGTTTATTAAAAGTTTACTAATAGTGGGAATATTATTCATTAACATCTTCTATTAAACGTTTACTGGTTCCAAATGTGTCGTTTTGTTGAATGTATACAGTTTCAATTACCTTACATTGTTTTAATTGGTTTGCACATGTAATATTTTACTCACTAACGAACCAAATCACATAAAATCTTTAGATACACAGTATATGCAAAATATTTTTTTCTATATTTTTGAGAAAAAAAAAGTTCAATGGTCCTTATTCTATAATAAACACAGACATCTATTTTTCCACATCCCAATCAATATTAACTGAAATATTTCCATAAATGGATATAATTTTATCATTATCAACCTGAACGCACTTCATTCAGTACACATGCTAACGACCAGGTCTAGACCCCAAGGTTCAAGTTTAGCTATTCTGAATTTGGGAATGCTGATTAGAAGAGGACAATCCTTCTGTTACCTTCATGCTTAATCTTCACCAAATAAAGGGATTGTTACGGTTTTAGTTTCAGTAACCAAAAGTGAGGGCCCCTGGGGTTAATGATGGCTCTTGGCAGCCATGGTTATACCTTTTCTTTGACCAGGCAATGTGAGAAAATAGAAGAGACGACTAATCATAATGGATGTGTAGGAGGTGAAACTTGATACACCATGAGACTGGACAATGCAGAATTTTTTTATCAGAGAACAAAAAAACAGAAATTTAGAAAGACCAATTAATTTTCGAAATAGATATAGTTTGGTAGGCTCTACATAAGATAATCTTATGCCAAGGACATACAATAAAGGTGTAACAAGTGTTCTACTGATGGTAAGAGTTTCTTTGGGTGGCATACAGGAAGAGAGAGAGAAGGTATCCAAAGATGACATTATGAATCCAGAAAAAGTGGTTAATATATTGAAGTCGAAGGTATTTCAGATTTATCAGAATCTGTGAAAAAGATATATGATTATAAAGTTCCTTAGTTGGACTAGTTAGTTGTATGTTGAAAGGTATCTGGAGAGCATAATGTTCCAGAATTTATAAAAAGGGCAGTCACAGATCTATGCAGGTGGCCATATATCAGACAATGTTGAATGAATGATTTATACAAATATAGAAGGAGGGGTGGAGTTAAGCACCAGGAAATTTCTGTCAATCATTGGAGCAGGTGAAGTCAAGAGGTAGGCATTCCAGGTAAGGTGTTTATCAAAGAGGACATCAAGATATTTGACTTTATTGCAGAGTCATATAGGAATGTTGTCGGCTTGGATATGATAATAATGGGTCATGATATGGTTGAAATGTATGATGGGTTAGACAAAAATAAGTTGCTTTGGTTTTGCTAGCATTAATGATAAGGCGTCAGTGGCTACTCCAAACCAAGAAAGCATTGACTACAGCCTATAGGACTCTGTCGAGGATGACCATAGTATTGCAGGTGATAACGAGAGCTGTGTCACTGGCACATGGAAAGAGATTAACCAGAGATTTACGTATGACAAAATCAGCAGGATATAATGTGTAAAAGAGAGGTTTATCAATGTGGACAATGTCTGCATCCAACGTTCTGCCTCAGTGACATATCTCGGTGTCGTCTTTGATAAACCCCTCACGTGCAAGCCACATCTATCTGCTCTCTCTGACAAGGTCTCTCACAGGAGCTTTTTGGAGCTTAAATCCACCTCTTTTACTGTACACATACAAGACCTTTATTCGATTCTGTCTGATATACGATCACGCCACTTGGATTCCCACTTCCAAAGCTTTCAACTCTCGTCTCCAAGTTTTGGAATGTTATGCTTTCTGTGTTAGGTTGCCTAGTCTGACCAAGGAGTTGTACAACTGTCTGCATATCCCGTTCCACCTGTGACAGCTTTGTACCCGCTATGTTACCAAGTGCTTCTCAAAATGTGATGTTCTCTAACGTCCTTGCCACCAAAGCGAATTCCCCATGAATGGTTTTGACAACTGCTAATAATCTTTTGAACTTGTATGTTATATTGCTTTCACCACATGATCCAAGTCACGTTGCAGTTCCTATGTTTCATCTACTGCCTTCTATCTATCCACTGACTTGCAGCCTATGGACTGAACTCTTTGACCTTTCTGTAGTGACTCGTCTCCTCTTACTCTTTACACATGTTTTCAATGCCTGTCTTTCAGCTGCTACACTTCATTTATCTCATTCTCACTGTTCTTCCCATTTCGTCCTTCTCTTCTTTCCTTCCTTTCTCATCTCTATACTTTCCCTCACCCTTTTACTCATATCTTGCATCTTTTATTCTTCCTCCTTTTTTCTCATTTTCTTCACTTGACCGACGAGAGGGCATAACTCTCTAACGACCCCCCAATCCTCCCTCGGACTGGAATGAACTGACACCAAATGATGATGATGATCATTGTAAGCTTTTATATATCCGTTGTTATTGAAGAGTGTCAGAATTTCCTGAGACAGGTATATCTCGGTATTAAGTTGTAAAGTGAATGATAAATTGTTTTAGTGCTTATTATGTACTGTTTAAAATAGCTTGACTGACTACCTAACACACCAGAACGAATTAGTAGCGTCAGTGACACATATTATATAAATTATCGTATAAAGGTATGACTACTGAGTTAGTAAAAGACAATTCAAAACAACATACATAGACTATTACAGTGGTTTGTAAACTCTAAATCATATTGATAAGATTATTTTAAGTATTTATTGTTTCCTTATCGTTTTTAATAGCAGGAATCTTGCCAGCCTAAATATTTTCAAAACTCATTATTAATGTATAGTTGAAGTATATATTGATCATATTAATTGTTATGTTAAATCACAATGATGATTGTGATTTTTATGTTCTTCATTTATTTAATTTCCTTGCAGTTTCACTATCAAGAAGATATTTTACATAAACAAATGTTTACTTATTTCCTCTTCATAATAAAAGGAACATGCTTAAGTTCTATTAAAACAACTCATTCACTGTAAATGGATAACAAAATTACCATTATTGGAGGAATAGTGCTTCCTTCTTTTTCTAAAGAATATGCACAATATGTAGTTACTGGAAATTTTCAGGTATTCTGTATCTTTGTTTCTTATCACTAAAGTTATCCATTTCTTTATTCTACAGCTGGCTAACTTAAGTCCTTGTTTTAATTAATTTTGTAGTCATAATTATGGAAACATGCTCAAACATTTCCCTTGGAAGTAAATATAAAAGTATCTTTTGCTTTAAATGCTTCAAGCTTATTTTAAATGGCATTATTTATTTGTTGTAAATTCACAACCATGTTTGGTTTTAACTCAGTAATGAAAAAAAATTTTATCTTCCCATGTTTCATCCATAAGCTTGACGGATGATTACACTATTACACTAAATATCGGAATATGACCCTAATAGTAGAACAGAACATATTTCACCCTGGAGAGATTTTCAGCTCCATCTATTGAGAGATAAAGAAACTACTAAATATTATTTAGGCGAAATCACTGCTATCACACCTGTAAGAACTGTCCTTATATATAATCTATTTTTGGATTAAATTGGAGGCCAGTGAAGTTGGAATGGTTCCTCCAGGACGGTACAAGTACCCCGGAGCGATGGACCGACGTTTGGGGATATTTGCAGAACCCACGCCTTCCAACTTCACCCCGGGTTACGGTATGTGCATACAATCAATAGCCCCATGCCAGGGTCAGAGGATTAATAGGGAGGACATCATACGGATCCTAGGCCATGAAGTATGATACCACGTATACATATACAGCTCCAGGCTCAGCCCCGCTGAAGATTTGAAGGGAAGAAGACCACTATATATAGGCATTGTTTTGTTAATTAAGAAACTGGTGTTATTAAATTGAGAGATCGATAACATAAACACAGATTTGTTAATTGTCCAAATACTTCAGCTGCTTGATGCATTGACTATTAACTTAAATAATTCTTTATTTATTTATTTAACTTTAGCGAAACTGTTTTGGCAGATATCATGTTTGTGCAAGGAAAAGTTCCAAACTGTTGGTGTATTAACAATATTGTGTGCTACCATCTAGCGACGAAAATCAAAACTATTATTAAATATGGAAGTAATATTTGTTTAAACTGAACTCACTGCTAAGTATTGGTTTTCCTTTTTATTGTATTCCCACAAAAATACGCATAGGAGAAGAACAGACTGGCATTACTTTTATATATTAATTATGCTGGTATATCCTATTTGAGAAAAAAATAATTTAAAATACTACTTTCAAATATATAGCACAAAAAACTTAATTATGTGCCCTTATTATACTAGCAAAACAAAAGTTCATGTATTTTGTAAAACAACTATTCAGAGATTGTGAATATGAACGTTTGTTTGAAATAGTATAACAAATACTTAAGTAAGTTTAATTTTTCATAACTATATTTATGTTTTCAAAATATGAAGCTAATAAAACATAGGTTGACATAATCTATATGAAGGGATATATGTGCATCTAGTATTAATGATTCTCAACAAACCTTGAAGAGTATATTAAACAAAAATCCTCAACTATACTATTAATACTTTATATGGAAAACTAGAGCATTAAATGTACTTTATCATGTCAAGTTTACTACATTAAACTCATAATTTCATGTTTACACTATTCTATAATCTAAATAATTATACACAATGAAGTCTTTCCTCTGGTCTAATAATGGCTGGAGACGGCTTGAATGGGTAATGAAGAAAAACTTTAATATAAGTTTAAC